TGACGTTCCCGAATCCGAGGATGAAGTCGATGCAGGGTGGGAGTATGACTCGGACCCCGATCGCCCGATACTGGCAAAGCCGCATGCGGCTGCCAAGGCGCCGCCCTTCAAGCCGTTGGGAGCGATGACGGCTGTCGGATGGCATCTCTCTCAAGAAAAGAACAAGACGTTGGTATCGTATGCGTTTGCGAACAAGGACAAGGAATCACTTGCAATGTAATCCTGTCTATCAGCCCTGCATATCTGCTCACCATTGAACTCTAGAGTCGAGGAACTTATTACACGCTTACCCGACTTGTCGGCGCTGTATCGCGATCGGCTTATTGCGATTTTTGCTGGTGCTGCTGACAAACTCCAAGAATTTGCCGACAAGTAAACCTATTTCTCTGAGATGCTCGAGCTCATCTCCCCACAGAAATGGTGTCTTGTCTTTTGCGGAGACTCTGGATGGGGCTAACCCTCAGCGCCCATACACCAACTCACTCACGGTAACGAAATGTGGCTTTGGCAATTTCCAGCATCTAGATGCCGACGCAATCGATATTGCATTTGGCTTATGGTGGGAGGCGATCCGCATTAGAGATCGAGACGGGAAACTCCGCTGGAAATGTTCGGAGGACGTCGACCACAACAAAACCAAGGGAGGTGAGTTTATCTGGGGTGAATATGGGATTGGTGTGGATTTCCCCAAGTCAGTCACTTGCATTTTTACGCTCACGATGCTGACGTGTTTCAGCTGCAAGGGACTTGTCGAGATATACTGGCGCGGCAAGGTCGACTTTCATGGCACGATGAAGAGTGAGGACGAGCCCGGCCACACTCGCTTTGGTAGCTCCGTCCAGATCACCAAGAAGGGTGTCGACGCAATGCATAAAGTCTTTGATACACGGGAACTTGCCGCCTCACTTCACGATGTCGAAAAGCTTGTACGTCGTTCGCGGGTTACGACTCTGGATGATCGTCTGAAAGGGGTGAGCGATTTCTTAGCGTTGGTGATCATCTCTGACCCGACCACATAGGCGGCGAACAAGTCCACGCAGAAGCGTCGTTAGATATCTGTTTTTCCATTTCCATTTCCAATCGTCCAGCTGCGTATGCCAACGAGATTTATATAAACGGCTATTATACGTTACAGAACTTGAATATATGTCAAATCGTCATCCGAGTACATCGATACAATAGTTCTCAAACCGGAATAGCATCAAAGTCCGTGGCGGCAGCACCATCTATCGGCTGGTTAATCGAGCGACACAGCGCTTCCAACCAGTATATTGCTTCAACGCGTTCCAAGTGCCCGTTTTCTGTCCGCTCCCTCGGAAATCGCACCCTCACGAGTATCTTGGGATATTCCGTCTTGCCAGGTACCACCTCGGCGTAATGTCCAATGCGATATGGATTCCCATTGACGTCGGGCCCGATGATCACGACGCGGTCAGAGACCTCCGCAATAGAGTGTTTATTATCGTCTGTCCTGTGAACTGGCTTGAGGACCGGCAGCGGCATATTGAGTCTCTGGACTGTCCCCGAGGGAGCGATGAATGGGAACAAGTTGTTTGCACGCTGCACCTCCGAGACGGGATCTGTCAGCGGTAACAACCATCCAATCTGGCCTGCGAGTGATATCTGCTTGTCCTTGATTTTGCTGGCGAGCTTCCCATAACCCCTCATCACCGCAGAAAAGTCCTCCTTGCTGCCGACTTGCAAGTCGATTCGCTTGCCGATGAATTCGGGGTGAAGGAGCCATCTCGCTTCTTCAAGTTTGGGCGGCGATCCGTACAGCAGATGGACCCGCCTCACCACAACTTCGCCGGGTTTTTGCACCGGAAGATATACCTGCTCAAAGAAACATCCTTCGCGGACACTGGTGAGCATATGAGCTTGCTCCAGTGGGAGGCCAGTGCTATAAGCAAGTTAGACGTAGTTCCATTGATTTTTATAAGATTGAGCTTACCCTTTGTGTCGGACGTTGCGGTACATGACCTCCGTTGATGTGTTTGACATTGCGAGTCCTACGACCAGCTGGAGATAGCGCTCCATGCGCTCTTCTTTCGGCACTGCCGTTACGACAGTGGGCGGAGCAGTCCACTTGTAGTCGGTTACTTGCCCATCGCGACCTTTCATGGGGTGCTCCTTGCCCACAATGCGTATCTCCTTGTGCCTGACCCAGTCGAAGCCATCCGTCATGTCGGCTCTAACCTGCCGCTGCTTTCTCTCAAGTGTTATCCACGTGTGCTCGCCCTGTGCAGAATCCGTCGTGCGCAACTGGACATCCGATGAGTCGAAATGCTCAAAGACGATGTGGTTGGTCGGTATACGATACTGAGGCCATTATTAGTTGCACGGGAAATGAGCGTGTCAAAGAACTTACCGTTGGCGTAACCTGACTATCCTCATCGCGCTGGATGACCATTCTGACCTCGCCGGGGACATTGACTCATTCGGCGGGTACAAACACAAACCTTCCCTCGTTAATCTCAGCCTGATATGCCTTTAGTGAGAAATTCAGTTGAAGCAGCAGATCGACCCACCGGGTAGAAGGTGCAGTATCCGCCAAGCTCCACGGACACCACCAACCCAATTTTTCCCTTATGAATGCCTCGTATAACGCGGATGACATCACCGCATTTGAAGACGACGCTGACCTGGCGGAGAGACACCTGAAGCTCATGTGGCACATCGACCAGTTGTAGCCACAGAGTGTCTCGATACGATTTTTTTACTCGAGCGTAAACGCCACAGTGCTCTCCCAGAACAAGTTGGACTCGGTCTCCGACCCGGATTTGACGCCGAAAAGCGAGAATGTGTAGCTTGAGGTCCCCGGTGGACGTCCAGAAGGCTTGCTTTAGCAAGTCAGTGAGCACCCCCGGAGATTTCAGCGACTGCCCGTCATACTCTGCAACCAAAACGGCCATCCGAACTCGGTGGTTATCGATTGTTTGCGGGACAATACCAAGGATTACGGCGCTGTTTTTCATACCCCAAGGTAACTGAGCAGATGAACGGGTAAGATACACACGATCGCCCTCTTGAAGAGCGGATGTGAAACCAGTAAAGGGCACATCGAGTTCGCTTGCTCCAGTGGCTCGGAAAACGTCCAGCTCGTCCTCGGTGGGAACTGCGTAAACATCATATCGTTGACGCTCGTAAGGTTTGTATGGGTTTGAGATCTGCTCGAGTCCGGGAAAGGACTTTCCGCCAAAGACTCGGTCCGTGTCCGTCCACAGCCAGGTCTGGTTGCGCTTTTCAAGCCCAGCAGTGGGATTCGCGCCGAGGAATCTATTTGGGTCAAAGAGACGCGGCGGTGGCGCGTTTGGGTCGTCGTCGTCATAGGGGATTCGCGGTACGACCAGCAGTGTTTCCGGTGAAGTGCTGGTAACCTGGCCCTGGATGAATGCAATATCGCCTCTGCACCTCCCAGTCTTGAGTCGCGCCCAGCGATTAGTCGCCCCAAACGGGTCATAGAAATCAGGATGTCCTGGTGGACATAATAGACGATGTCGTTCGGCCGGTGGGATCTCGATGGGTGTACGGTGTTCCCAGCGCATGCGGTAGGTGCTCGCCCAAGATTCGAGGGCGACCGTGAGGGCATGAATGGGTGTAAACGCCTTGATACCCCACCGCTGCTGGGTGTCTGCATCGACCTCAACATAACCAGCTTCAACCTCTGCAAACACAAGCTGTGAGCCAAGCCCCATGGTACCCGCACTGATAACAATGCCACAGCCTACGAGGTACTTGACGAGCAACAGCTCACGATCTCGCGGTGTGCGAATAGCAAACATCGGCGGTGCCTCTGGAGTTGCGACGGCAGGTGTCTTGAGCTCGTTGTTTGCGCGCAGCTTTGCGTCAAACGTTACCGGTTGTAGCATTGCCTGGCGCACTTGACGGGCTGCGCGCGCCTTTTCTTCATAGTACTGGGCGATCTGCCGAGCTTCTTCTGCTTCGGGAGCAAAATCGCGCAGCTCGTCGGGTGGTGGAGGCGGAAACCTATCTTGAGGGCCAAAATCGTGGCAGGCCTCGTCGTCGTCAATGAACCCACTGTTGTCATCATCTGTTTCATCCTCACCCTCATCGGCGTCGACCTCGACTGCGGCAACATCCAAATATCGACTGACCCGCGAGGGCGGTGCGTAGCGGGCTTTCTTGCGTGGTGGTTCAGAGTCAGCATCGGCGACTGTCTTGCGAGTGTCAGTTTCAACGACCGTTTGCGCCTTGGATGAGAAGGACACCGTATCTGACCAAGAGGGAAAAATCAAGCGCAGGGAATCAGACGCGACGGAGGCCGTATCCGACCAGGGAAGAAACAAGGGGGTTTTTGCGGGTGATTCAGACGCGACAGACCCCGTCTCGGACCAAGGGGAGGGAAGAAACAACGGTGTATTGGCACGTATTTTACGAATTCCATCCTGGATCCCAGCCTTTTCCTCCAGGGACCGAAGCACGTCCTGAAGCAATACAGGCCGGTCCTGCGACGAGGCTGCTGGTGTAAACAAGGGAATCGCCGATGGGAATCGCCATACCTATCGCGAGTCGGTCGATTTCCGCAGACATTGAAACAGATTCTGCAAAAGAAAGATGTAGCAAATGTGAAAAGAGGTAAATGGAGACGCGTACCAGGATGCGAGTCGTCGTCCGTCGAACGGCTGAAAGCACGGTCAATTTGGCGAGTCGTCGTCAGAGCGACGAACACCTGAATCAAGGTCAATTTAGCCAGATACAATACCAAAGCAGACGGAGGAACTTGCCTTTTGCTTTGGGAAACAGCCGGGGTGAGTCGCAGCGTAACGGAGCGGTGGTCTTGAGCAAGCGACTGAGTGGTTTCCCACGATCTGAGGCCAGACCCCGATGACTCAAATCCGGAAGCGGCACCCAAAATAGTATCCATCACCGGACTTGCCGTTTTGGGCTCCAGCACCGCGGGTTACTGTTTTGGGCTCCCAGACTCGTGACCAACGCGCTCGTCGGTCGTCAGGTGCAAGCCACCATCCTCCTGCTTTTAACGGCCCTTAACTCAGTGGTAGAGTGTATGATTCCAGAAAAGGAAATTCCTGTTCCGACTCCATAAAGTCGTCCGTTCAATCCGGGCAGGGCTCACTTTTTCTGTTTTGCAAAGCTTTTAGCCTTTTTTAGTACTCATATTTGAGCTCGTGCTTGAGCTCCCCGACTACGTGAGCCGCGACTGAGGTTTAGTGACATATTGTCACACCAGGTCGTCTCGACCGCTACGTGACTCGCCTGCGTCCGTCTTCCCGGTCTCTTCCCTGGCCACTCCCGAGCTTCGCGTCCTGCGAAGCTCCCGCGCGGTATTCAGAAGCGAATTTGGCTTTTCACACCCTTAGCTCCAAGCTCCAAGCTCATCACAATCCACACCACTCAACGCATCCCATTTCGTCTGACCACAAACCTGTCTACGACGCCCAAAGGGCATCCTCGCCCACCATCGACTCCATCTCTTAATATCCTATCATCCATATTACGAGCTCTCCCTCGCGAAGGAACTATCTTATCTCATACTCAGCTATCCCATAGTCAGTGCCGCAATGCAATTCGAAGATATAGATCCCACTCCGATCCTCTAAGATTCAGACCCACTCTATTCTCTTTACGCCTGTAAATCTGGATTATGTCCCGCATACTACAGCAAGTGGCCATGGCACCACCTGCTTCGGCTCGTTCCATCAACGCAAGTCTGAATCCATTATTGTAACTACTACAACATGTGTAGACTACAAGCGCGACACACCCCACTCCCGGCGCCTCTGAGTGGGCAGCCGCGTGTCCGAGTCGTTCGTGCTGCAGCAAGATCAGAACCAAATCGATGCAACGTACCAGTTATTGGAGACCCATTGTGCACGCTCCCTCTAGTGTAACACATTCGGCTTGGGGAACACATGCTGAGCCGTGGCCATCTGCCCAGGCCGCGAAACAAGCTCAAGATGGCTCCACGCGCCGCTGCCCCACTCGTGTTGGTGTACGTTCCCGCTCGACTTGTGACCCCATGTGTTCCCGCCCCGGCCTGGCGTTCATGCACTGCCGCTGCGATGGCCTCGTGTGTTCGCTCCCACTCGCGCCGGTCGCGGAGACGTTGCCGGCGTTTGTACATCATTGACGGCGAGTACCGATGATGCTGGCGGTCTTGGTCGATGAGTCGGAGGTACTGAGGACTTGGGAGTCGGAGGAGGCGGAGTCGGATGTGGATGCGGGAGAGGCGTCGGTGTCGCTCGACGTAGGGACGAGAATCGGCGTGTTATCGCTGGACGGAGGAGACATCGCTGTGGTGCTATTCGTGGAAGGATCATCCGAGGACCCGGATGCAGAGTTAGTGGTACTGCAATCGACATCAGAGAGGAGCGCAAAGAGGACCAGAAAAACAGCTCACCTCGCACTGACAAGTGAAACAACCGGCTATGAGGGAGTCAGGTCGTCCGACGATGCGCTGCAACGACTGCCCGTCATTTTCTCGGCTTCGATGTCTCCTGGCGTTAGCAGCAGAACTCGAGCTGGTAACGCACCAGGGTGGAAGCGTTATACGGTGCTTGTGTTGCCAGCTGTAATCCATCGCCGACGTGCCCAAAGTAAGTGGAGCAGAAAGAAAAACGGGTGCACTTTGCCGCTGTCGATATCGCGCTGCTGCCGGATATGTCGTTGGTCGCATAGGAAGAGGCCAGTGTGGGCATTCTTGAGTATCTTGAGCGTCTCCGGAATCTCTTCGATACGCCCACCGAACGCTTCAACTCCAGCCTGTGCATATGCAACCGCGGTATACTTGCGCGAGCGAGTCCCAGTCGATCGTTTACGCGAATATCACTTGGGCGCGAGAGAGTGCGCCACGAGCTTTCTGGAGGCTGACGACGACGGTCACTGACGCGGTCGACGCGAACGGCGACTCCAACGTGACGGTCACATGAACTCGGACTCGCTCTCCAACCTCAAGCGGAATTCATTCTCGGGGCTTACACAGAAGCGTCGTCGCGCGTCCTCTCCCTGCGACTACATACCCACCCTCGTCTACCAAGCCCGGGCCCACATCGCTCTCAATGACCCAACTGCCGCTGCATCCCTCGTTCCAGCACACTCTGAAAACGTCGCTTTGAAGGCGGTGTCTGCATTGGCTCGTTACGTGGCATCCCCAGAGCCAGAGTCCGTCCTGGAGGAGCTGCGAGACCTTGCGGTGGAGATAGAGGGCAAAGTGGAGGGATCCGAACGAGACAAATGCGCCGTGCGTGTTCTGTCTGGCACAGCTTTTGCGCGCGCAGGAGAGGTGGAGGAGGCCTTGGAGACCCTTGGTTCAGAGACCGAAGATCTGGAAGCGCATTTCGCAATCCTGCCTTGCTGATTTGTCTAGTGTCGCCGCGATCGTCCAGATTTACTTGTCTATAAACCGACCGGACCGTGCAAAATTCGAGCGCGCCAAACACTGGGCAGAAGACGACCTTTTCCTGCAGCTCATCGAGTCCTCCATTGGCCTCGTTGCCGGCTAGTCCAACGCAAACTCTTTCTACACGGAGCAACTGGCCAACCTCTCCTCCCCTCACATTCTCACTGCACGAGGTGTTACGCGGATATTGCGCAACGAGATTCCCGAGGCCAAGTCTGATCTGGAGGAATTGCTCGAGCGGCAGAAAGATGATGCAGAGACGTTGGCAGCATTTGTGGTTGCGACTGGGATGGGCAAGAAGAGCGACGAGGCCGACGAACTATGGACGTGCGTATCTTTTGCTTTCGCTCTTTCATCCAATACTCATAAGCAAAGCCGTCTTTCCACGCAGCACTCTTCCCATCCATCCCTTGTTGACGTCGCACAAAAGACGGACCTATTCGAAGAGTTCTGTGCCAAATTTACGGTGCCACCTCTCGCGGTTTCTACGGCTGCGTAATACGTCTGTACCGGAAGCATTGCTTGAACTATCAGCTGGACCGCTTACTCGCGAGTTGTGCGGCTGGACCCACTCGGGAGTGGAAGCCTGGCCTTGTTCTACTTCGCTGCTCTGCAGCGCATTGCGGACTTATATGTTCACCGAAAGATATATTGAATGCCGTTACGGTATGCCCCATGGGAGCGTTCAGGAGCACTCCGCCCGCTTCTCCGCTTCTCGTGTCGATGAATCGGCTATATTAGACGGCTGGCATGTTTGTTTCACCCTCTCAGCTTTCCTCCCATGAATCGTCGCTCCTCCTTCTTCTTCCGCAGACAACCCTCTGTGTGCTCACTTGCGTCCTTTATTGCCCTATTACTCACATTTGTTCCAGGCCAGTGGCGACGCGCATGCGAACGGAAGCGCCAATGGGCAAGCGGTCACGGACAGTCCCAGCAATCCTGCCGCTGCATCTAAAATCCTACAGGATCTGCGCGAACAAGTAAGTCTATCAGTAGTCTGCTCCAACGTCGCTAATGATTCTCAGCTAGTCAAGGGAGGCACTGTTCTCCACACATCAGCTTTGGTGCGTTCGCTCGACTGTCAATCTAATAACGCATCACGCCGCTTTATGTAGCCGGCGCTTGTGGACGCGATTCGGCACCGGGACCAAATCGACGATCGCATGCTCGCCCTCGAGCATGGCATTAACTTTGTCTCAAAAGTACCCGAGGGAACGAAGCTAGCCACGACGCTTCAAAACAAAATCGTTGAGCTCTGTGAGTTTTTTTGATACAAGTCTCGATGTAGCTCATTGGTTGTAGTTTATAACGACCTCAGTCATCCACATGCCACGAACATCGGCAACGAATATGCGTGGAGGTCCGCAGACGGCAGTCGTAACAATGTCACTGTTCCGGACATGGGCCGGGCCGGCACGCCGTACGCACGTAGTGTTCAGCAGAGCCATCCACTCCCCAAGCACGAGCTGCCGGATCCTTCGCTGCTCTTCGACGCGTTTGTTACTTCACTTCAAGTCTAACGATACTGACCTTTAATCAGACTCCTCAAACGCGATGGGGTTAGCGCAGTGCCGAACGGCTTTACCTCGCAGCTAACCATCCTTTTCAGTTCGTCGAGCATCCTGCAGGGCTCTCGTCCTTGATGGTAGAGTTGCAATTCTGTCGCATCGTTGTTTGCTGATTGCTTGCATAGTTTAGTTTTGCGGCCCTCGTGATCCACTCTGTCTTCCGCACGTCGCACTCCGATGTTAACATCAACGATACGTCGTCCTACGTCCGTGCGCTCACTTCGGTTTGTTGCCCCGTTGCTCACATTCCTTCCCAGGTCGATCTCTCTCCGTTGTACGGAGTGAATCAAGCAGAACAGAATACAGTGCGCCACCGGGAGGCTGGTCTAGGACTGCTCCATCAAGACGTTTTTGCCGAGGATCGTCTCCTTCTCTTGCCTCCTGCCGTTTGCGTGCTCCTCGTTCTCTTCAACCGCAACCACAATGTAACTCTTGTCTCTTCGCTTTCCGAGGCTATTCACTGATCTTTCAAATTAGTACATCGCCAAGAGGATGTATGAAATCAACGAGAGAGGAAAGTATCAAGACCCAACGACGCTGACGGACGAGAATCGCTCAGCTCAAGACGAAGAGCTCTTCCAAACAGCCCGCCTCGTCAATTGCGGCTGGTTCGGGTCCGGTACGCGCCTCGCTTTGCTGCTCGTACTCCTCCTCACTCCCGAGTAACAGTGATATTTTCCGACTACTTTGCGGCTATTCTGGGACTGGTGCGAGAAGGAAGTACGTGGAGGTAAGCAGCTCATCTGCGTCTGAGATTGAGTGATGAACGGCAACTAGTATGAATCCCTTTGGAGTACGCCCACGATTCAGCTTATATCATTTCGCTAACGCAACGCAGGAAATCCGAAGTGAAGACCACGCGATCTTTGGCCGCGGGCAAGGGAACGTTTGTAGTGTCGAGTTCAATTGCCTCTATCGATGGCATGCTACAACAAGTCAGGAGGATGAAAAGTGGGTTGGCCAGGTGTTCGACAAGATCTTCGACGGCAAATCGCCCGACCAAGTCACTCCAAAGGACTTTAAGGTTTAAACAAGTCACCTCATCCGTTTTAACCGACTACAATTGTATTCAGGCAGCAGCATACAAGATTGCCCAGACGCGGCCGGACGTTACTCACTGGACCTTTGGAAAGTAAAGGACTCTCGAC